ACAACAATCTCATTCATAGTAAAGAAATTTACAATGAGATAAACAATGTAAAGAAAAAAGGGACAATTTAGCGACGTGCTCATTGATTCGTATGAATTTCTAAGCAAATTTTTATTTATCAACGACTCTATTTAAATTTCCGATTCGTGGCTGGATTTGCAGGATCGGCCAGTGTTACAAATATTTGTGAAATAAGAATTGTAAGAGAAATTCTGTGTGTGTGTCTGTGTGTGTGTTTTACGCGAGTCACAGTACTTTTAATAAAATCTGTAGTAATGAATAAAGTTATAATCTTTTTTACGGTAGCTTAAAGCTCATAATCCAAGAGAATTCTTTGTAAGTTGGAAACGATTATATTAAAAATGACAATCGCTTTTATGGTGTACAGATAAATTGCCGTCGTCGCTCGCATTCGTTGAATTCATGCGACATAAGGAAAGATGGAAGAATATTATAAGGGAACTCAATTTAGAGATGGAGATAAGTATGGTGGGGAAGATTAGTTTTTTCTTTTGGATTGAAGCTCTCGATTGTCGAATTTTATGCAGGAATTTTCTGTTCAACTTTTGTATTATGTGCCTTATATTACACAATATGATATATATATATATAATGACGTTCGAATTATTTCTTAGTAGAATGTAAAATAATTTTGGGGTTTAGAGTAAAGTTAGATATCGGTAAAGACGACAAACGAAATCTCTATGCGAAAAATGGAATTATTTTCAGAACAATCCAATAATGTTTATTGAAACAATTAATATTTATCATATAATATTAATTTACTGTAAATTTTAAATGAAATATAATTTGTTCAATTGGAAAAATTTAACAGAAAATCTAGTTACACGAAATTAAGGATAAGGATATCTGGAAATTTTCGCAAACACTCTCGAAAGCCGAGTTCCGAGTCCTCAAAACTTTTCCAATTCGGTCAAACGACGCGTAAGAAAATGGAAAGGTAGGGAGAATGGAAGAAAAAAAAAGAGAAAGAAAAAAACACGAAAACCTACCTACGTAAGGAAGTTGAGAAAAAATAAATAAATATAATAAATAAGAAAAAAGCAAAATGAAGGAAAAAAAATATCGATGTGAAAGAGGGAATATGGTACGAGGTTTTCAATAGAAAGGTTTCGAAGGTCCCATTTATTTATTTCTTTTCTCTTTTACAATACATTTTTTTTTTCTCTCTACGAAGAAAATGGTTCCTCTCGAAGAAACGAGAACTTGGAATCGTATATCGATTCTTACAACTACTCTAACACCATTGAACCAACCAACGAACGAAGAAATGAAGGAACGAAGGAACGTGCTCGTGAATCGATACGATGCAAATGCAGTTCTTACTAGTATTACGTGAGAAAGAAAGAGAGAGAGGACGACTTCTTTGAATGCACTTCGCGCCGTTTCTAACACCAACACTGCGAAAACTGGAAGTAAGAAAAATAAGCTCTGGAATTGCGGTCGTTATTACGCGACGGAAAAATTTACGAGCTACACGATGCGCATCGAGTACTCCACACGACACTACAAATTCGTCAACTAGAAAATACCTTCTCTTTTCGAGCTACAAAATCATTTTTCTTAACATTTTCAAATTTGTTTCTTCTAAATGATTCATAAATTGACAAAAATATTCGATTGAAAGTTTTGGTGTTGATTTACAAACAATTAAATTCAAAGACAACACACTTTTATATTTACAAAAATAATAATATTAAGATTTAATCAAATAATCAGATTAGAATAAATATGGGTTAGTTACTTTCGACTGAACATATAATTATAAACAATAGTGAATATATATTTTTATTATTTTTCAGTAGGTATATTTAAATACGATTTTTCGTGTTTAGAAGGTAGCTGACGTAATCGATAAATATTTACGATGAACTTTATCGTCCTTCTGCGATAATATCGACGAAGGATAGAGGAACAGGAGAGTTAGGGTGGCAATTTAGGGTATTGCCACCTAACTCAATATTGGTGGTAGTCGCCATAGGTTTAATAGGGTGTTCCACGAATGAAGATTCGCAGGTGGAAGTATTTCACTATCGGTTCTCGGACGAACTATGTACGTTGAGAGAGAGAGAGACCGCGTAGGTGGTTTATGGAACGGAAAAGGAAAAGGGAGCACCACTGATGTTGTATGTGACGTTATAGAAGGGCAAAGCTACGTGCGGTTGATTGGCGAATCAAGCGTATATCGATTATGTTATGGATATTGCGCTTCAGGCAGCCAGCCTCCAAGTTTCTCTATTGTGTCCAAGAGGATGGAAGCTTCGGATGAAATTTGTTAATTGATTTATCATCTTCTCAAACTATAACTTGTTAAACAATAGAATATTGCTTTTACTTAGATTTATACTAAATATCCATCTTTTTTAATATTTTATTTCTTTAGATTATTTCTAAATAAATTCATTCTCATTTTCAGCATTAGATGTACTCGTATGCTTGAAATTGATATTTGAATTTTTATATTTCATAGAAAATGCATTGTTCATTTGATTGGTTAATTTTATTTCAAAGTATTTATGTACTCTATGTCAGTTCACTATGTTCAAGATATTTATTTTCTATTTTATGCGTCAGTCTACTTTCCTTGCCGCTTATCATTTAGTAATTTATTACTAGCAATGAAAGAAATATGTTCAAGTGTTTCATAACTTTTACAGAAGATTAATATACTTTTATCCTCCGAGACTTCTTTCAACCAAACGTTTGCTAATCTATTTGCAAATTCTTCTTCCTCTTCTTTTTTGCCATAGTTCTATTCAAATTTGTGTATTAAATTGAAAAGCATTCACCTGCTCTTCAAGTCCTCGGCATCTAAACTTTAATCAGTTTACGTACATTATCACCGTAGTTTGAATCTGGAGTATCCTACCTTTTAGCTTCTCTAGGCCAAAATGGAAGAGGACAAGTTTGTTTGGGTCACACATGAATCAAATAATAGTATGTTTCAATTTTATTTTAGTATTATTAATGGTATTTTCAATCGCAATCTTATCAAGTTTGTAAGTTTATGATTAACTTTGGACAACATTCATAACTGTTCATGCAGTCCACAAGCAAACGGGTTGGACAAGCCTAGTTTAAATGATCTTAAGTATACCACTTGATTATTATACACCATTTATGGCGTTGTTTTGTTCTAATTATCTCACTTCTCGTTCTCTCTTTTTCTTTCTTGTTCTGGAATAATAAAAAGAATATAATTTTGGTGAAAAATTGTAATTAAAAAATTCGATGTCCAATGTATTTTCCAACTGAACGGCGCTAACTTCATTCAAGTAAGTCAACGAGTTAACTGTAGGCACTACCGACCAAAGGATGTGTTGACAAATCGCAAACAAGACGAAACTCACGTTCCAAATTACAGTGTGCCGTAGATAGGTAGGCAGGATCTGTTAAGGATCGCCTTGACTAAACGACGATACAAGCAAGCCAATCAAACGTCGTTTAATTGGATCGTAAATCGTCGTCAAACTTTCATCGACGAAATCGTTTAGAAATCAACTAAAAAATATCCAATTATTTTCTCATTTTATTTGTAATTTCACGATCAAATTTTACTTACGTTAAACAAGTTTAATATCGTTTTTTTTTTATTTTTCATTTTAATAATTTAATATTAAATTGACGTTAAACTTTAAACGACATAAATTTAACCATTTTTTAAGTTCATTTTTTAATCAATTAATTAAAATGTTACTCAAATTTTGTTTGTAAATGATTGTATTGTAAATTTATACTTATTATCTTTGGTTTGATATTAAATAGAATCCATTTTTCTTATCACGTTTGTGCTACAACGTGTCATATATACCACAAAACAGTTTCCTTCTGGTCCACGCGTTCGTACCCACAATCAAAGTATCTCTTCTGTAATCTATGAAATGATTGATTATGGACGTATCGGGGATTATGCAAATCTCTGCTCTGTATCATCAAACTCGAGGAATATGAAAAAGAACAGGGAATATTTTACCAGCTGCTACATGTCAATTCCAGAAATTGATCATTATAATCTTACTTGCTCGATCGTATTGCAAAGACGAGTATGTACAAAACGAAAAAGACAAAAAGAAGAAAAAAACAATTTGACATATCAGACAACTAAAACCATTCGCTTAATATCCTCAAGAATTCTTTTTCTTTTGTATTTTTTATCGAAATAATTTTAAAAAGACTTTTAATCAATTTTATCGAATTTATTGGATCGAAGCAGGACCTTATTTACAAGAGAAAATTATTTTATTCAATTGAATTTTTGTTTATAAATTTGAAACAATTAGGCTTGGTAAGGGTATGGGAGAAAAAATTGTGAGAAACAAAAAATAAGAAATTATTGAACAATGAAGAAATTGTTCGAGATATCCGATGAGGACAATTTCGAGGTTTGACGGGCCGAATAATAATTAAAATAGTTTCCATGTAACTTGCTCGCGAACTTGCGAAAAAGTTTTCGTATGACGAGGAAACAAAAAAAGAGAGAGAGAGAGGGAAAAAGAGTCTTCTATTAATGAGTCCTCTTTCTCTTATAATTTCATTTTATCTTTCTCGAGACGCGACTCGATAATCTTGTCGAGTTGAAATTTCTTCCATTAACCTACCCCCGTATCCCACTATACCATCTTTTTCCCTTTTTTCCTGGTTTCTCAATAGATACTTGACCGATATTACGAAGAATTAATAAGATTTTATATATATATATCGAGATTATTTATTAATAATTAAATATTTTAAAAAGAAATATAAATTAGAAATAAAATGATTAATATTTGCAATTTTTCTCTCTCGAAAGTATTTATTAATAATTATTATAGATATTTTTAAAGGAAATAGAAATAAAATATAAAATAAAAATAATAACAATAAAATTATATATATATATAAATATTTCCCCCAATCGAGATTTATTAAATTGAATTAATTAAAAATTAACATAAGATTTAATTGCATTTAATTCTTCTTATTCTTTGTCTTTTGTTTAGCTGAAACACAACTAAGTAAGCAAAGCATTTTACAATTTCGGACACTTCACGTTGGTGGTTATCTACACGCCGGCGAAGACATTCCTCATTTTGTTGGACAGCTTCAACAAATCTGGTTCAATGGTTACCCTTATTTGGAAATAGCCAGAAGTGCTGGTAGCCATCAAAGTTCTCATCAGGGTGTGACACCAATCATCAGAGTAACCGGAAAATTTGGCAAGAGGAATCATCCTGTACATCATCCTGTAACCTTCACCTCAAAGCATACGTTTGTTGGACTACCAGTATTGAAGGCCTACGTAGAAACCAACATCTATTTCCAGGTTTGTACATAATTCATTTATTTTTTTAATTAAAAACATAAAACAACAAAATAAAATAAAAATAAAACTTTCGATTATGTATAATACCTCGAACAAACTCGCGGAAATGATAATGCTCCCTAAACCTAATAAAAAAAAAAGAATGAAACGAATAATTTCTGACAAAAACCTGATTCCTGGCCATCAATTTGGAAATTTTAATATATTTTCGTATTATTGTATCTTTCGAAGCTTCAAGAAAGCTTCTTCTTTCGTCAAAGAGTTTCGTAAATTCACGTATACACAAAACATGTGTATGTGTATGGATATCCACTAACAGATATGAAAGCCTTGCACTGTGTCTATCATTACGAAACGAATGTACGCAAATATAAACACATACACACACAAATATCCGAGTATCTACGTTTTTCATTGTACGAAAGATGATATATCGATGATTCATGTAGTTCCGATAAAAAGATGAGAGCAATGGTTATTCAGGTAAAAGCTTCAACCACATCCAAGAGAGATAAAAAAAGTAGGGTGGTTCTAAAAAGGAAACTTCCATTCCTCTTGTGAGAGCCTATATCTGCTTATATTTTCTCTCTATCTTTCTATCTTACAAAGTGTATGCATGACGTATCACGCGATGGTTCGCGTAAGCGAAATAAACTGAAGGTTCCGACACTAAAAAAAGTAGCAATCTTTGGAGATTTATACGGGTTCATCCCTATTCGTATATATGACACACTAATAATAGCAAAACGCTATTTGTAACATGAAATATTCAGTTTGCATTAAACCTAAATTACGGACAATTTCAAAAAGTTGAATTAAAATTCATTCATAACATGAAATACTCCGTTAAAATTAAACTAAAGCTATGAACAATTTGTATATAAATTTCAATATTAAAAACAAACATTGATAAAATATGGTAAGACTTTTTCTGAAATGAATATTTAAACAATATTTAGATAATTTCACACGTTTCGACATATTTTCAAAGAACTCGTTTACTTTTCATCGCCTTTGGAGTTTGTTTGAAAATAAGAGAGAAATATTCTCGAAGGTCAGAAGTGAGGCTATATCAGTATGAGATAATTTAGTAAAAATAAGAAGAAGCGTAGGACAGAGAAATAGACAGAGAGAAAGGGATAAAGGGATAAGCTTATTCCTTTGACGGGATAAAACGGCTTCGAAACGACGGTCGATCCTTTGAAGCATGCTCTGTGAACTATCGAAGAAAGTACTTACGCGAATACACGAGAAGAGTGTACGTGAACACTCGAGAGCTCGTCACTAACGATCGATTCGAAAGAAAAGAGAAAAAGAAACTTTCCTCCGCTAAAAGAAATAGAATGCATATATACAATATAAATATAGGGTGTCCCAAAAGTTCTTTTAACAAAACTACAAAATTCGAAATATTTGTCTTCACCAAGTTTTCGAAGAACAAACATCGGAGGCTTTAACTTTTTAACAACACTCAAACTGGAGATTCATATTTAAAATACAAATATATAAAATAAATATATTAGGTTGTTCGGAAATGAGTTACGTTTTGTCAATGATAATAACAAATTATTTTTTCGTATTGAAAATCCAAGGCGTTCTAAACGATCGTGAATTGTCGAATTCAATAAATTTAACTTCTCAAATATTTCTCATGTTATATAATTCTTTGATAAACGATTTATTTTAAATTAACATACATCATTATTCGCAATCGTGATATTGGGGATAAAGTTTTAACGACGATAACTCCAACTCTTTCTCGTTGCCGATCTTCTTTCAATTTCTACAAAATAAAAGGACAAATATCAACGAAACCAAACTTTCCATGCAGCATATATTTGTTATTTCCAATGGAAACAATGAATAAAGTGTATCACTTTTGTTTAATTATTATCAATTTTAATTGATTAGACAATTGCAATGAAAAAAAAGAAAAAAAATAGCCAACCTTATCACTGAAACACTACTCTGCATTTTCCAGCTGCAAACTGTGTGCCCTTTGGACAAATGATAGGTACTTGAATGATGTGGTCCGAAAGCTTCGGTTTTTGTTTACGGAAAGAAGAAAACCAATCCGGGGGGTCACTACTCTCTGGATCGTTAAAGTGCTGGATTTTATTTTCGACACTTTCCATTGTATCCGAATTTTCTTGCTTATTTGCACACTTGCATTGGCAAACCATGTCTCTGTCCGTTTCGGCAGGTCGTTTCAACAAGTAAACCTCAAGTTCTGGTCTCGAATAACCGTGAATGCTTCTCAAGTTCCGAATGGAATTACCTTGATAGCTTTTGGTGGGACTAGTGCCATCAACAGATTGCAAATCCTCGTTGTTGAACGATTCCTCGAATCCTATCTCAGGATTAACTGATGAAGATGCTATAACAAAGATCGTTAACAAGAGCAACGCAGTGGTCAACATTGTTTTGCACATTTCGATTTCAATTTTGAAGACAAATTTTATATTTAATTTTGTAATTCAATTCAAAAATTAGATCAACAAATTTTTGTTCGTCTTGACAACAATTTAAACAATTTTGGAAATATTTCCTTGTTATAGTAATATCAACGTAAGTTTCGAATAGCAATCGTTAATCAATGAAATTCACATTGTTCGTTGGACTCTATGCGCTTTTAAACTAAATTCAAGTACGCGCACCGTTACTTTTATCTGCCAACCACCCTTCTCCTTCGAAGGTTACCTTAATCAAATAATTCATTTGAACAATCATAGCATTCGATTTACTACCAACCGGATGTCGCTATGTAAATCATAATAAAAGATTTCATTAATCCAACAATAATCAATAAAAAATAATCTTACTCCTGATTTATATTTCTTATCCATGCAACACAAAATATACCATGCAAAACGATCGATTGTAAACCAAAACGAAACTCGAAATGCAATCGTTTTAATATCAAACAAATTTAATTGGATTAAACGAGTTTGCGTTATAATTTGTTTTATATAAGTAATAAATAAGTTCTCAGTTCATAAAAATAAAATACTTCCGATTAAGATTGTACGGTTATATATTTATTTTATTTTTTAATGATAAGGTAAATTAAGTTTTTTATTTAAAAAATTGTTTTGAGATTTTGTGTATGTTTAAATGATTTATCGTTACGTTAGACTTTTAATTCTTACAGTTTAAAACACGAGAACCAAATGGATTGATCCTCTACAATGCTGGAAGAGAACGTGACTTTATAGCTGTCGAGCTGGTGGACGAACATATTAATTATGTCTTTGATTTGGGAGATGGCCCAGTAAGAATCAAGGACAATTCTAAGAGCAGATTGAATGATGGCAAATGGCATGCCGTTAGCATCGGAAGACCTGCACCTAAAAGGCACACCTTGGCAGTAGACGATCACGTGACGGCTGTTAACAGCCAAGGTAGCAACGAGAATCTTGACCTTGATGGAATATTGTATATAGGTGAGTCAAACAATCATTGAGATTAAATTGTTTAAGGAAAATCATTTAGAAATAATTTAGGTTGCGATCTAAAAACAAACTGTTACTTGACCAATGCTTAATTACAATACTGCATTCAATGTACCATTGTTTGTCTTCGTTTGACACATTACTGTAATTATAATTATAAGTATTGTTTAAAATTACTATTTTTAAAAATTATTTAAAAAATATGAAAAGGTCATTGATCATTAAGGAATTAATTGATTAATTTCGTTATTTTTTTCAATGTGAATTTCACAAAAGCACGTTCCAATATTTTATTCTTAGGAAACAGAATATTAGCTCGTTCTTTCGTTAATAGAGATTTCAAGTTTGAAAATAATGAAAATGTTCCATTTAAATGCATCTCTATCTCCGCTATCAGCCATTCATTAACGTCGTTCCGTCATTACATAGAACATGGATAATGTAATATAATCTGACTTATTGGAAAGAACAACAGTTAAAAGAGAGAAGATGAAACAATGAATGTTCAAGGGGTTACATTATCGATCATAAATGATAAATCTTTTTCAATTTTCATATAGTATTTAATTGCAATGTGATACGTTTATAAATATAAATGAAAATAAAGAATTGTAACAAATAAAAACGAAATACAACAACAACAAAATAATAATAATAATAAAATACGTACAAGATTTTCTAAAGAACGTTCCCTCTTAAAACATTTTCTGCATTCCCGTCGAAAAGTCGAAAGGATACTTAACATTAATATGAGAAAATCTAAAAAGAAAAAATGAAGAAAAAGAGAAAGAGAGAAATAATCGATAAAATTTCATCAAATTTCACATCGATTTATTCTTTTATTTCTGTATTTTATTTTTTTGCTTCATAGCCATCTTCAACTTTTGCTCACGAAAACGACTGATTTTTATGACTAAAAAAACATAATAGGTATTGTATATGACGTATGCATACAGGTACGTGCTAACGAGGCTCGTTAATTAAAATTGTATTTTATTCATCGTATGCTAGTAACGACGATTAACCGATAACTTTTCAACGAATAACATTGAACGTCACGCGCACACGTTCAAATACGTTGAACACAAAACGAAGCAAGCGAGTCAAAAACAGACGAGTTCCAAATTCTTTAATGGTATAGATTTATCGAATTGGGGAAAACATTTCTTCGTACTATTTAAATGCGAAAACAAAACAAGTTTCTCTTTTACTTCATATTTCCTATCCCACCGTTTTTTTTATCAACGAGATATTCAATTTCTTATCCTAAAAATTGTGTTTTAATATATTTTTAATATAATATATTGACGATATTGATATATACATATATAATATTATTTATATATATTGACAATAATTTAATAATGAAAAATAATCTTATTTTATAGACGCTACGTGTCATAAAAAAGAATTTTTTACCTTGAGCTCGAAACTTTTCAACGTTACAATATATTTAATATTAACAAACACCCTGCGTAATTGTAATAGCGTATATAAATATATTAATTATTATATCATTTTTTTAATAAATTATTAAAAAATCACGGTAAAACGGGTAAAAATATTTATACAAATAATTGTTTGATATATTATTTATTTCAAATTAACAAATACCAGAAAAACTCGCAATCGGGAAATATGACAAAAGAAAATTATAATGAAGATACCTATAACTCCTCCACATTTGCCGATCATCTATCAGTTTCTACAAATGGAAAAATAGACAAAAAATAAATAAAAAGAATCGTTTTGACATGCCTTTTTTTCATTCTTAATTATTCGTACTTTAATCGATATCGATCTTGAAAATTCGAAAGAAACTCAAAGATCAAAGAAGGAACAACGAGCTTTAGACATTTAATATAAGCAAATTCTCTTCCTCTCTCTTTCCCTTTCCCTTTCCCTGTCTGCCTCTTTATCGTTTATCAGCCAGACGGGTTTCTAATCGGTCTCGACAGAATCCTGTAAACTACGTGACTACGACGTTAATCTGCGTAATCGAATAAAGAGCCGTTGATCCATGATCGAATAATTTCTCATAGATATACGTTTCGTTTCAATCATACAAAGGACGTTTTTCGAGAAAGAAAAATAGACATGTTCTAACATTATATTCAAACAAATTATTGTATACCTTTTACTGTATTACAACTCTACATCTTCCTCTCATGTCCCGTTTTTGCCCTTGAGGACAACGTATTCTTGGGAAATTAAATAAACCTGACGTGAATCTTTCATCAAACTCATCGTTATATTTTGAATCATCATCCTCGAAAATTCCAATTGGTGTGGAACTTTCTCTTTGCTTATTATTACCACACTTGCATTCGCAAACCATGTTGTTGTTTTTTTCCGTTTGACCAAACAATTTGTGCTTATCTTCCGAAAACCCATTTTTGTTTGAGGTTCGTTTCAACAAGTAGAGTTCAAGTTCCGGTTGGATTATTTTTTCGTTCAAGCTTCTCAGTTTGTGAATTAAATTATACAGATAGGAATCGTCGATATTTGAGCCATGGGGAATTAGCGGATTTTCGTTTCTCGATGATATCTCGAATTTGATATCATGGTTAGCCGACGATGACGCCATTGCGATAATTACCGATAACGTTAAAGCTATTGCCAACATCGATCTAGCCATTTCGATTTAAATTTATTCGAAAAAATACGAACTTTGAAAATATTTTTCCTTCAGTATATTTTTTCACCGATCGACCCAATTTCATTCGATCTGATCTTTTAAATGGCACGCGGAAACTAAATTTCACTACTCGCGTTCTCGTTTTTATTTGATAACCATTCTTCATCCTCGAAGGTTCCTTTAATCAATTTTCTAAGCTAAAGCAGGGACAATTGGAAATAATTAATTTGTAAATCGTAATGTTCCATTTACGATCGTACGGATATCAGTAATCGTTAAAGTTTATTACGCCAAATTTAATTGTTCGTGCAAATATTCAATAAAAATTTAAATCTTTAAATGAATTTATTTTTAATTGAGTAACAATGCAAAATGATAAATTGTAGACTTAAACGAATTGGAATTAATGTCCACGTTTAAATCTATCTTTAAAAGAAAAGTTATAAACTCTCGTATTCGTATAAATAAAATATTTCATATTGCAAAATAAAACGCCACGATTCTATTCGATAATAAATATTTCCTTTCTTTTGCAGGTGGAGTCGAAAAATCGCAATACAGTCAACTACCAAAACAAATATTTAGCCGGCATGGATTCGAGGGTTGTTTGGCATCATTGGATCTTAGCGGTGAAAGTACAGATTTACTTTCGGATGCTGTTGTACCGAGTTCTCTCGTCGAACCCGGATGTGACGTATACGCGAATCTTCACGCTGGAAAAAAATGCACTCACGATGTATGCGCGAATCATGGAACATGTTTGCAACAATGGAACAGTTATACATGCGATTGCGACATGACCAGCTTTTCTGGACCTACTTGTAGCGAAGGTAGAAACAAACAAAAAGAAAGAAAATTGATTAATACCAGAACTACAAACAACTGATTTTTTTTATAAAAATGCAGAGTGTTTCGTAAAATATAGGACCCGCTTCGTAATTATGCAGTGGCCAAAAAAGAAAATAAAAAATACTCGTACAAACACGTATCTTATTTGATCATATTTTAAAGTTTTAGCTACTTTTAGGTTTCAATAATCCACGAAAGATAATCTTCACAGAAAATGCTCAAATGTAAATATTTCTTGTTGATATTACGCATTCCGTTAATTAAATTTACTCCTAGCAGTTTTAATGCTTGGTGTTCTTATCAGAAGTACTTCATTATTTTCTATGGGTTGCGTGTTCAAAGTTACAAGTGCGTAATTAGATTTTTATTTCTAGGAATCATTTGAAAACAATTGGATACTCGGCACCTATTTCTAACATTAAAGAACTTCGAGCGCGTTTACAAAAAGGCTGGCAAAAAATATAACGCGTACCTGAAATTTTGTAAAGACAACGAAATTCGATTGCAAGCTTGAATACAAACCGAGGATGATCATTTCAAATGCATTCTATGAAGATAAACTGTTGCGAATTATTCAAATACACATTTTTTTTCATTGCTTTTTGTGTCCTTTGTCCACTCCAGAAGTTGTTCCTACAATTACGAAACACTTTGTATATAAAAAGAAAAAATTATAATAAAAATTAGGATTTTAATTATGATTGGTTTGGATAATTTTACTGTAAATATATTTGTTTTATTCGTATAATCGAAGTTAATTGAGAGTAAGAGTATTGATCGTTTCCAAAGACCGACTGACGATACGTTATCTTTGCAGAGGCTATGGCATATGAATTTGGAGCAGGAAGAGGAATCATCACGTATACATTTCCATCCGATCGAAGACCGGAAATGAAACAAGACACCGTCGCTTTTGGATTCGTTACGGGAATGAACGACGCGGTTTTACTTAGGATAGAATCAGCCTCTAGCAATGACTACCTTGAAATTGAAATTGTTAGTACCACGTCGATAAGAAAGATTTCTGCTTTTACTCTTATCATTTCATTCCCTTCCTCCCTATTCCATTTTTACTATCTTCTAATATGTTTTTATTTTATAATAAACAATATTCTTTTATTTCTTAAAATTTTATTTATTTCATAATTTATATTTTCAGAATTATATTTATAAATTGTAATAAACAAAAGATTTGTGTAATTTTAAATATTTGGAAAAGTATTCACGTTTATTTCACAATCAAATTATATATTCGAGATCATAAATAGTACACAGAATATTTGATTATTTAAACAATATTTTATAATTTATCAGAAAAAATTCACATAAATTTCATATGTTCAGAATCACGAATTAATGAAAAAGACGCTAATTTATTTTGAATTAGTAGACAAAAATAGAAAAGATATTTATAATTATTTGGATAAGTATATACGTATTATTTGGATATCATTTTGATATAACTCATCATTTATCTTGTAGGTTGAAGGAAACGTATTTGCCGTTTATAACATGGGTACGAACGATCATCCAGTTGGAGAAGTAGGTGTCAAAGTGAACGACAATCAATACCACGTCGTTAGATTCACAAGAAGTGGAGCGAACAGTACGTTGCAAGTCGACGATTACAATCTTCAATCGAATCATCCGTCCGGTGAGTGTCACTTGTCTACGCTTCACACTTCATAATCACCAAGTTTCTCAGAAGAAACAATACATAACAACTTAGAAATCTATATCGAAGGCCGAGACAAAGATTTAAATTTTACGATAAATCACATGTTATTATTCTCTAATATAAAAAAACCAAATCAAAACAAAAAAGTTCGCCAGAAATCAACATTTTGATGAATGATAAGGAATGCAGAAAATAAATTCATTTGAATGAAATACAGATTAAAATAATTATGAACAAAAATTAAATAAACAAAATATTGTTAAATTGAAAAAAAGGTAGAAAGTGATAGCGTGTACGTCCGAGATGAAACAGAAAAGACAACTACTTTGGAAAGGGCCCTGACTACCCTTTTATAAACTTCCTACGGTCGACCAGACCTTGAACCATGTGAAAGGACCGCCCCATTGGTTGTGTAGGATAATGCTGAGACATTCCTAGGTCAAAGAGAGTCCAAGAGAAGGGGAATTATTTCTAGTAACTGAATAATACTCAAAAGACCCCAAAATCTTCTACCTCTAGGTCCTTTCTAATATCCTGGCATGTTTGACCAACCTAATTGGGTTATAGATTTTGATTTATGTTAGACAAATCCAAAGTTACATGTAAACCGACAATCTTTTTTTCACGTACTTAACAACATTTTTCTATAATCTTGACACCTTGAAGTAGTAATATAAAATGATATTAAAAAGTTCATCTATTTCTCTCTTTCTTATTATTTGAGTTGACAATTATGACAGTAAACTAAGTTAAACTATTTTATAAATATTAATTTTATGGTAGAAATATAATTCTGATATTAAATGAATTATATAAAATAAAACTTATGTAATATTTTCACTCAGTTCTCTGTCGTAATTACCGGTAGAAATATAAAAAAAAAATATTAAATAATAAACAAAACAGCATGAAGTCTCGTTCTAAAGGACACTCCTATTATAAAACGAACGATAAAAGCAAAAGATGAAACTAAAGTAAAGGTCGAAGACATTCACCAAGGAGAAATACTTTCGCGTCTTATAGCATCCTGATGAGTTTCGCCATAGAAGTGAAAGGGTTTGAAATTTCGTTCCTTCTAAGGTCACGTAGAGAAGCGAAAAGACGTTTCATTCCTTTTATAACTAACCACGATTTTCTAAGTTCCTATTACCACCGAAGACACTAATCCGCATCATTAGGTTCGATTATTGTGTCCAAGCAGGGACAATCGAATTGACTCGATTGAATTTATGTATGCACAATGGTTGACTGATGCACCTAATATGAATGAATGAAGAAACAGGTATTTAATATAAACATCGTTCATTGAACTTATTCGAACTCTTTCGTGCCGATATAAAGGCCAAGGCTCGTGAAAGGATTCCATGGGAATTCGAACTAACGTTCAAGCAAACTAACTTCCTTGGCCGACATGAAACCTTGATAAATATTCTCAAGCCCTATGGTGTTTCTCGAACTCATTCCCATATAAGGAAGAAAATAACGAACTGACTACTGATTGTTCAAACGAGTGCTATGAACTATTCGATTGAAATAAACAAATGATCAAAATAAAATTTAATAAATAAAGAAATAAATGAATAAAAGTATAGCTCGTGTGATAATAATCGGTTCCGTTGTCCCTTTCTATAAACAAATGTATATGCGAGTTAAATTATTTTCCTCGGTCGTTAAATTTATCGCGTTCGATGCTCCGGCACGATTTTTATTGCCGGCTCTTGCTCCCCCATCAATCTCTCGAGTAACGCTTCTCATAACGAGAACAGAAAGAGAAAGAGAAAACAAAAAATATACACGGGTGAACCTTTCGAATTAGTTCAATCCTATCCAAGTTAATTTAATAATTTAATTAAAAAAAAAGCAATTTAATTGATTTTGTATACATCGTGCTAACTCCGTTGTTAGTCTGATGATTCGATCATCATCCAATAAAAATTACGTACGTGTACATACATCGTAAAAATTCGTCAAGTCAAACTGTTTCAATGTAAATTATACTCTTCTTTGATTATCAGAATGAAATCAAAATTATATACGTACGTGCATATACGTGTACGTACTATCAATCCAAATTATTTTACCACATTCAAGAATCCTAAAATGTTTAGAATAAAAAAAGAAAATAAATTGCCGATCGTTTAGTTCTTTGTGATAAAATAATACAAATTAATCGATTTTATTAGAAACAATTGTCGACAAAATGGACGAAAATTTACAAAACGCTTCGAAAATATTTCAATCTTAGCTTTCTCGAAATAGCCTAACCTCCTGTTGTTCTATACTGCCTCGCATATTCTTGGCATCCTAACTAAAAACATCTATAATTTCGTGGAAATCATATTTTATTTTTTGAAGAAATAATTCAGAATAAATTGTAGATGTGATCAACAATAATATGGAAAAATACATTTTGCCTGAATGATATTTTTTTAATGTATATGTGTAGAGAAATGTAATAAAGCGTGGAAAACGAAATAATTGATCGATCTTCCATTGATTTTAATTATCATTTCCCCTTTCAACTCGAGCTAGATGTAATGAAGGTTAAAATGCATAGCTCAATATTAATTACATAGGTCATTGCAAATACATAGAAGGAAAAAGAGAGAGATATATATATAGATATATGTTCATTTGTACGTATATGTCATCTGTGTGTAGAAATGGAGTTTATTTCCCTCAGCGATATTGTAGAATGTATTTATGTTTTAGTAGTTATCAAAATATCAATTTCATATAATCTAATTTCAATAGAAATATCATGATATTTTTAATAAGATGATATTTACTTACATTTCATTAGATAAATGATTTATTTCCCGTGATGAATAATAATTATTATTGAAACATTCACTCGCGTATTAATACTGAACATCAATAAATTTTTAATTGTCTACAATGATTCAAATTTGAAAATGTTTGATTCAAAAAATGTGAAATTAATAGTCGATTAGTTTTACAGAATGATTCAGGAGTCATCAAACTCGTGTTGTAAATCAATTATTGCAATCATCTAAAAATTTTAATTCCAACTTATAATTAAATATAATTAAAACGATTAGCATCGAACGTAAATAAAATCATTTAGAAAACACGGAATTATCTTTCGACAGGTTCGAATATCAAATATTATTCGTTCAATGAAAATATCACCGATAAGGTAATAAAACTTTCTTGTTTCCTTAGAAGCTAGTAGAAAAGTTCTTATTTCAAAACGGAAGAGGAGAAAGAAGAGAAATGAAGGGAAGAAGGAGAATAAGAGGAAGTCTTGAAAAGCGACGTTCCAAAGAAGATTATCGTAGTTTCAGCAATAAACTTACTCGTACCAAAATTTTCTTGATAATTAGTCAGGAAAGTAGAACGAGCCTTGAACGTTCTTACCTCGGTTAAATTTATCGTACCCCGCTATACTTTAATTTATTGTACAATTTATCATAAGCCTCCGTGGAAAATAGATTCAACATTATACCCCAACAAATCTTGTAACGCGTAGATGATTTTATCGAGACGCTGCCACGAATTCGAAGGAAAATTATCGACCTGCATACTAATACACAAATACCGGGTGTTGCATTTGATACAATGTAATCACATGAATTAGAGAACGGGCTTATGTTATGTTAGATGTTTTGTTTGGATATTATTATAAAAGTAGCCCTTAAATATTGTTGGCCCTTCTTCTGGACACCCGTTTCAATATTTCCAATTTTATTCAGCTTAAAAAAAAATATCTTTATATATATAAATATTATTAATTAGTATCTTTAATATAAATTAAATATTTGGGAATAAACTTTGCTAAAAAGAACTGCAACATTTGCTTGAATTATATCAAAGAGAATACTATTTTCGAATAGAAACGGAATTTATTATAATTTTTTACAAATAGAAATTAATATTTTATAATTTAACTCAACATTGGTTGTAGCAAATATCGATTGATTTACGCGCGAATCATCTACAATGTTTTTTTCTTTTCCAACATTAATTTCAACAAATTGAAATAAAAATGATAAAATAATATGGCTTAAATAAACTGAACATCTAATTTTTGTCATAGCATACTTTATAATTCGCAATCAGCATCGTTAAAAAGACGAGCAGCACTTTTCAAAGCTGCCATAATTTAATGTAATAATATGAAGAGATCCGTTGTTAAAAAGATAAAGTTTTTACAAAGAGTCGCTATCGTTTAAGATCTTTTATTTCCAGTTCCCTTTTTTTTCTTTATTTAAATCCGTAATAATACGCTTGAGAGAAACGTTTCAACGCTTCATCGGGACCAAGGGGAGTAACAAAAAAAGAAAATAAAAAGGAAGAAGAGGAATAAATTCAAAAAGAGAAAGAAAGAGAGAGAGAGAAATAGAATAAGAAAGAGAAAGTAGAAAGAGAAGAGAAGAGAAAAGAAGAGAAGAGAAAAGAAGAGGAGGGCATAGGGTGAATCCGATTTGATTTAATTAGAATAAATTTGCCTGCATAAAAAGTATGATGATGAGGATATGCTCCACGCGAGGTATATCAGCCTGGTAGCTAAATTTAGCGAATTATGCGTAGCTCATCGTCGTGGGATTTAAAAGAAACTCATTCCCCATAAAGCAATAACGAAGGGTAAGCTTTTGCTCGGATAGAAAATGGCGGCTTAATCTTTCCTTCAAACAGACAGAGAAAAAGAAGGAGAAAAAGAGCGAAAGAAAGAAAAATGGTGGACGAGTATTTCCGCCATGATGAGAGGCGTGACACTTATGGCAAACCTGCATACAATTTCGTGGGTCCACCATGAAGTTGAAAGTAACCGATGGAAGAGACTCGTACACCCTCTTTTCTTATGTTCCCCTTATCCCTAAGTGGTCCTACCTCCGACTTTGGCCCTTAACCTAAACGAATCGTGTTACACTAATTAACGCCTCCAATCATTTAATTACTTTACCAATTGAATATCATTCGACCACCAACAATCATACCACGTTTTCACTTTT